TCTCTCTCTCTCTGGCTACGAAGCTCTGCCCCAAAACCGCTGGAGCGCTGCGACTCACAGCTCGGCTGCCTGATTTTGGCTGCTCGCGCGTTCGGTCTCGGTGCCCTTCCGCGTGGATGCGTGGCAGGTTGGGGCAAAAAGGCAGAAAAGGCGACGGGAGCGTAATTGACCTGACGGGCAGCTCGGCTGTGTAGCCCGCTTGTTCTGCACGCACCTGCAAGCCCTCTCCCTCTCACATTTTTTTTTCCCCACCTCTTTTCTTTTTGTTTGAAATTTCGGCTGGAGCCCGCTGTTAGGCTTTGTCACCCAGTCAGATCCACGCGATCGCAAAGCGCAAACCAGATCCGTCAGGCCTCGCGGCGGCGGCGAAGGACGACGGCGGCCAAGAACTTATTGCCGTACATACGTGTGGTGCATTCGAGTCGCAGCCACGACACCGCTTCGGCTTGGCCCTCCCGCCCGCGCCTATGACTTTTGACAGCCGAGAATGCACCAGGTCGCAGCAGAGCAGATTCGCTCATCGGGACCGGCCGAGCCATTAGCGATCTGACCGGCTCGGAACAACCGAAGATTCCCATCTCAGAATTCGACGACTGATCTCTTGCTCTCCCGGTCATCCACCTGAACCTCGCGGATGTGACCCGATACGGAGCAAGTCGACGGGAGGCTTGACGGCGCTCGGAATGTGGCGCCCTGATACGGCACTGGCACCTCTTCATGCCGATTTGATATGGACGATTGCGGAGTCAGACCGGTGCAGAGCCCACCTGCAGTATTTCAGCCACGGTTAGATCGCATCGGTGCGGCACACTCGGATCAAGAAGAACTGTCATAGCGTCGGGAAGCCGGGTAAGCCGTGTCGCAGTGATTCAGGTTCAAGACGGGCTCTAGGGAAAGACTGTCGAGCTTGCTCGGGCAGCCTCCACCATGCAACACGACCTTGATGGGCAAGCGAGCCCATTGTCATCTGCTTCAGGCCCCAAGGCAGTGACAGACACTCTGCGATCTTGCAGCATGGTGATCGCAGACCACACACAGAAGTACCGAAGAGCCCGACGGAAGATTGCAAAGCAGCCTGAAGAAGTCTGCAGGCTTCTACATGCACGAGACCGCTCGAGAACGGACAAGAGGCGGTAAAGGCGTGTCGTGTCTCTTTCGAAACTTTGGGGAAACAACTTCGCTGGGCCGGGCAGGCCGACGAGCGGAGTCCAACTCCAAGCAAAATGATTTAATTAAAAATATAAAAATATAAACTGCGAAACGGCCAAACGGCGAAATTGTTGGGTTGGGTTGACGCGATGCCGAATCGAAGGCTGTCCCTCTCTCCGCTGTTCCAGGCTGGACCCTCGCTTCAGGCAGGGTGCAGATGGAAGGCACACCCTGCTGCGGAAGGCACAC